TTAATATACATTTTAATATATATATATATATATATATATATGTATGTATTTATATTTCAATTAACTATTCAAAATAATAATAATAATAGTTTATGATTATTATTATTATTGTTGTATTTTATTTGTATAGCACCTTTCATACATAAAATGCAGCTCAAAGTGCTTCATGTGTCAACAAAAAACCAAAACCAAAATTAATCAAATACAGAGCAGTAAAAAAAAATATTATTATTATTATTATTATTGCACCCTTCATACATAAAATGCAGCTTAAAGTGCTTCACATTTCAGTACAATATAAATCAAGAGAGAAAGTAAAAGTGTACAATTAGGATGTAATAATAATAATAATAATAATAATAAAATCCATCACCATGTTGCAAATATTTTCAGTCAAAGACTTTATTCAGCTATTTTAAAACTAATTTTTACAATAATTTTTAACTAAACGAAATGGATTAACAAGAATTACAAAACAAATTAAATAAATAAATAAATATAAAATAAAACTTTCCAAGGCTTTACGTGAATTTTGTATTTGTTTAACTGTCATGAGAATAATGTCACAATGCAGCAGAACATCATAATGATGCTAAAATTAAGCTTCATTTTCTTTATGCAACATAAAATGTCTTATTTTTCTTTCTTTTGATTTTGGGGTGGAATGTGATCTGGGTGCGATTTGATGAGACTGATGCAGACGGCAGTGTGTATGTGCTGTTATTTGTGAGGGAGCAAACATGTGTCTAATAAAAGCGAGGAGCAGACGTGAGACGAGGCGCTGAGCTCATAATGAAATATTTGCAGAATCTGCATCAGAGCGTCTGAATCAAACACTCTCTAGGTTACTTGTGCGTTCTCATATCTTATGTTGTATAATTACTGATTTTAGATATGGACAGGATTTAATCTAAACTCTCCATGAAGCCAAACTATCAGGGCTTTCCCATTGAATTCAAGCTTATGCAAACACACACACACACACACACACACACACACTAAAAAACTGTTTGACTTTTTACTGAGAAAATTTGTATTGCTCAGAATTTGCTCGTTTATAGCTCAGATTCTCAGTTATGTTTTATTTAAAATATCAACTTTTTCCTCAGATGTTTCTGCTAAAAACAGACATAAATTGAGTCAACAGTTGACATACAGAGCTAAAAATGAATGTAGAGCAAAATTCTGTTCTGAGAAGAATTTGATGAGAAACCTCAGCTCTCTTGGTTTTGATCACAGATTTTAGTATTTTGGCAAATCTGAGTACATTGTGAGACACTGTTGAGATCTTCTGATATGTTGGAGGAGACACATGTGCAATTACTAGGGTTTTATTCCCAGAAGAAACATCTGAGAAGCAGGAGCCTTAGTAAAAGTATCAATTTGCTCTCCATTTCATGTCTAGGAGAAACAACCGAGCTATTAATGAGATCTCATTTGTGATTTTTCTTCCCTATGAGAGTCTAAAGATGAATTCAGAGTGTTTTGTGTGTCTTACTTTGGCGAACAGTGAACCCACAAGTCTGTCAGTGGCAGATTTAAAAGCAGCTGTACTCTGTTTCTTATATAACGCTTCAGTTGTTTTCTCCACCTGCAGCAAACACAAAAGACAGAAAATATCCAAGATTACTACAAGCTTCTTTAGAATACTTGGTTCTGACAAAACACATATTGTTGGATTGGTCTGACAGTCAAAGGTTCCATATTTGGTAACTGTTTTGTAATAGAAGTGATATTGTGACAGAAAATGATTGATTTGTGAAAGAAAACTGCATTAAAAAAATTCAATAGAGTTTGGTTGCCACCCAGTGGTTATTTTTGGTATTGTGCCCAAACAAAATCTCACAGGAACCACAATTTTTGTGATATCAACTTCAAATTTGGAACATAACTTGGTTAGACATATGGCTTTGATTTTATAGCAATTTTAGAGTGCAACATATTTGATAAAATATTTATTTTATATAAAATAAAATAAAAACTAGTATACTACATTATCTTTACTGTAAACTTAAACTTCTATAACTTTTTTATACTTTCTTTTTTTTTTTAAATGCTTCCACTTCAGCGATAATCTGCTTATTAGTTTTCTTTAAAAAGAGACCAACCTTAGGTCTGTATTCCAAAGCGTTCAGCAATTACATTAAAATAAAAGTCCCAATAAGATGGAAAATAGCAATTAATTAATTTTCTGATGTCTCTTTATGGTTTTGCCCTTTTTAGGGTTAAGATTTCACTTGGCGGCATGAATGGGGAAACATAAAATTCTCCAAAACTGTTCACCAAGCTTACAATTAAATTTCAAATTTGAAATCACCAATGAAATTTGACAACAACTGTCCCATAAATGTTGTTTCTTATGCTCAAATAGCGTTAAAAAAGGCTTATTTTTTCAGGCTAGAGTAGCGCATCTCAGAATGCTGAGTGTTGCTATAGCAACCAGAGCTTCAAACGGCAGCTGCAGTGACGAGATGACTTTTTTATTGAGAAGGCGGGACTATTCTGCCACGTCTTTGTATATCTTAAGTCTTTGACGGAAAGCGCATACTCTCTTTCTCCTGCTCTCTCTCCCATACAAACGTGCACACACATCCAGTACGGACACACACTCACAAACACGGAAACATACTTGCACACAAAAACGTGTTTAACTCTACCCTGACGATTTTATCAGTAAAATAGTTTAGCAACTACACCACCTCGGGTGTGCATTATTTTCTAATAACAGCCCGTCATCAATTATTCCTTATATAATGACAGATTCATATTAATGAGATTTAATGAGATTCAAATAACGCTTAAATTTGGGCCTGTTCTTCTTATAATTGGAATATATATGTTTTCATGCTTTTATAATACTTGCATGACAGCCGCTGGTCTCTGTCTACTTTCACTGTATGAAAAAAGCATGTTTGAAATTCTCCAAAAAAACTCTTTTTGTGTTCCACAGAAGAAAATGAATTAAATCCATTCGGAACAACACAGAGGTGAATAAATGATGACAGATCTTTCACTTCTGGGCCAAATATTTCTTGTTACTATGGACTGGTGCAGTTTTAGTAGCTCTGAGGTGTCTGTGTAGTCTCTGTTGAAAGAACAAACTTCTCTCTGGTTCAGCTTATAATGGAAAATCATAATCTCCACTATCATGACGCTAGAGATAAAATGCAGCAGGTCCTCATCTCAGACTCAGAAATACTAGCTTTCTGCAATATATACAGTGGGTACGGAAAGTATTCAGACCCCCTTAAATTTTTCACTCTTTGTTATATTGCAGCCATTTGCTAAAATCATTTAAGTTAATTTTTTTTCCTCATTAATGTACACACAGCACCCCATATTGACAGAAAAACACAGAATTGTTGACATCTTTGCAGATTTATTAAAAAAGAAAAACTGAAAAATGCTCAGTATTTAGTAGAAGCACCCATTTGATCTAATACAGCCATGAGTCTTTGGGAAAGATGCAACAAGTTTTTCACACATGGATTTGGGGATCCTCTGCCATCTGTCAATATGGGGTGCTGTGTGTACATTAATGAGGAAAAAAAATTAACTTAAATGATTTTAGCAAATGGCTGCAATATAACAAAGAGTGAAAAATTTAAGGGGGTCTGAATACTTTCCGTACCCACTGTATATAGTACTTTTAAGAAACTTCACTAAATTGCAATGAAACTGAAGTGGTTATATTGCCTGTGTCCAGTGTTTTTTATAGCCTCATCTTATACAGTGTTGGGTAGGTTACTCTAAAATAGTAATTAATTACTAGCTACTAACTGCATCTTCAACAGTGTAATTAGAGTACTGTACTAATTACTCACTCTAAAAAGTATTGCATTACTTATTAATAATTACTTTCTAAATCCCATATAAACCTTGACCAGTTGGTCAATACTAGACCTGAAACTGCTCTTTTAATTCAATCAAATAAATAATATAAAATTGCATAAATTATTCTTGAACTGACCAAGGTATTTTAAGGGAGAAGTTTATATTAAAAACACGTTTTCACATTAGACACTAAATTTTGATGATAAATCCACTATTGTTTTATATTAAATTGTTCTGTAGTCATGGATACAGTATTTAATGCAATTACATCAGAAGTAACTGTAATTAAATTACAGAAAAATTAAGAGTAATCTCTTACTTTGTCAAGGGAAACTTAATTATATATATTGCAGTAATTAATTACTTAGTAATGCATTACACTCAACACACTTGCATTTGTCACACAGTATCCCTCACAGTGTGCTCTGCTTGCATATTGGACATTTTGCCAAATGCAGTAGGTCATCTCCATGTGCACTTGACGTACACTTCTGTTCAAAAGTTTGGGGTCAGCAAGAGATTTGTTTGAAATAAATTACTTTTATTCCAGGATTCATTCAATAAAAAAGTCTCAGAGAATCTACAGAGCCAGTAGGACACATTCACTGCTCTTATCTATGCAGCCAGAGACCATGAACGGGGAACAAAAGCAGAGGAGAGTCCATAAAAGACCTCCACTGGGGTCGGTTTGGTTCAGCAATCAGGCCAGCTGGACAATCACACTGGAAATGATGGACATTTCCAAGGAAAACAGCTCATAAAGTCCCAATGTCCTGTTCTGGGTGGTTGCTGTCTGGTTGTTAGGGTGTTTTACGTGGTTGCTATAGCGTTGCTAGGTGGTTGCTACGCAGTTGTTAGGGTGATTTAGGTGGTTGCTATGCCATTGCTAGAGTGTTCTGGGTGGTTGCTATGCTGTTGTTAAGGAGTTTTAGGTGGTTGCTATGGCGCTGTTAAGATGTTGTGGGTGGCTGTTGTGGTTGTTAGGGTGTTTTGGGTGGTTGCTATAGCGTTGCTAGGATGTTCAGGGTAGTTTCAAGGTGGTTACTATGTAATTGTTAGGGTGATTTAGGTGGTTGTTATGGCATTGTTAGGGTGTCCTAATCAGTTACTATGCAGTTGTTAGGAAGTTTTGGGTGGTTGCTATGGCATTGCTAAGATTTTCTATGTGGTTGCTATGTAGTAGTTATCATGTTTTAGACAGTTGCTATGGCGTTGCTAAACTGTGATCACTCTTGCAAAGCTTCTTTTGTGCATGCAACAATGATGTGGTTGCTAGGGTGTTCTAAGGAATTACTAGGTGGTTGCTAACATCTTTTGGGCAATTGCTTGTTGGTTGCTAGGGCGTTCTGGATGGTTATGCATTTTAGACAGTTGCTATGTTGTTGCTAAGCTGTGCTCGCTCTTACAAAACTTGACGCTTTGATGCAACAAAGATATGGTTTCTAAGATGGTTATAGTTGCTAAGGTCTTTTGGACAGTTGCTGTTGTTAGGGAGTTTTAGGTTTCCATGGTGTTGCTAAGATGTTTTTGGAGATTGCTCTGCGGTTGTTAAGTGTTTTAGGCGGTTGCTATGGTGTTGCTAGGATGATCAGGGTGGTTGCACTTTTATCATCCACCAGGCAGAAATCTTAAAGGTGTACTGTAGTATGTAATATTGACAGTTATTGGTTGAAATGGGTACTGCAGTCCAAATTCAAAATACTGGAGAGAGTTGTTTCTTCTACTATTTCTCCTCAGACTCAATGCTCATGTGGGTTGCCAGATTGCGGACACGCAATAGGAACAAGTGCAATTGACAATGAAAGGCGACGGGCCTTACACTGTAAGTTAATGAGATGATTTATCTGCATTTTAATATTCCTTTGATCATAGAGCTTTCTAGATGGATTCCGGGGCTTTTTAGGTCGAGTAGAACCCAATTCTGACCCAGTCTGTTTGCTGGCTTCCATGACTGCAATACGCTGTTTTCCACCAACTGGCAACCCAGGGTGTTGAAATCCTATTGGTTAAATTGGCATGGGCGGAATCACACGGACCAAAACAAAAACAGACATTCTGAAACAGAACACACGTTTCAAAGTAGAATAACTGACTGTAGCAGTATGTTTCCTAAATATCTGCAAACATATTATGGTATTTTTATGCTT